GCACATCTGAGAGCAGTGAGGGCCAGCGACTGAAGCTCTGTGGGCGCAGCCAGCAACATGAAGAGGTCTCAGCCAGGCTCCCCTGTTTGGATGGCAGGTGGTCAGCATGAAAGGAGCCAGGACAGTGAGCAGCAGGCTCTCTGTCCAGCATCATGAGACAGGGAACTCAGAGGTAACTCCAGTCAGTCCCCAAAAAGCCTTGACGGGGAGCAGGATCCTCTGGAAACTCAGCCACCCCGATGCCTGAAGGATGGTTAGAGCCCAGTCCTGTCCTGAGACTTCCTCAGTGTCCCTCTCAGAGTGGGGTGGTTCCCAGCTGGGTGGGGTGACCCTGACAGAGGCAGGAAGGAGCTGGTGGATAATGAAGACTGTAGTGTGAGGCTGGCCGCACCTTCCCCAGACTACCCCCATGCCAACCTCTATCCTTTTTGCATGTCCCCTCCCTCGGCCAGCCTGCTGTCCCCTCTCACCAGGTTGCTCCGAGCAATGACCCCAGCTTGCTGTGTTGATACTGACAATGTGAGAACTAACAGATGAAAAGGGAAAGAAAACAACCAGGCTTCCAGTTAGACCAAGAGCACCACTAATCAAACCATGTTGCACCGATCTTGGAGAAATCCTCCTTTCACCACTCCTGCCAATCAATGGCTGTGTCTGAGATCTGTGACTCTGGACTGTAACGCGCATTCTCATTTGTATCTTATCAGCTCGCATGGTCAGTAAAAGCAAGGATGGCACTGGAAACGATGACAAAAGAGCAAAGGTAAGCTATCGAAGACTTGAGACTCTGGTGCTGATTGAATTTGCCCAGAAGCCATTCAATGTTTTGACATCTGGGCTCTTTCTCACATGTAATATGTGTGGAGCATTGGTCCGTAAAGAACAACTTGTTTTAAAGTGGTATTATCTTTGTGCAAGCTTTAAAACAATCCAGTGTTTACCAATTCTGATCCTTATTCCAGGAAAGGACACCCAGCAGGTTAATGAATTGGTGCCCAATAAAATAATTGCCATTTTATTACCATGGTTTAAATGAGACTTTCTTAGTAAGTGTAGGTATGTTTACATTTTCTGTAGTAATCTGTAAATTTTGCACATCTTACATTTCCTGCTACAGACCTAGGTTCAGTAAATAGATGTACATGATATATAGAAAATACCATTTAATTAGGGGCTGATAAATACAGAGCAAGGCAAGTATCTCCAACCTAAGGCAGATGAACTCAAAGGAAGAAACGAGCTATGAGATAGCCCTGAAGGGACTATAAATGAAAGCTGGTGACACTGGGGTGGGAGACAGTAGTCCACAGAGGAGGACCAGCACAAGCATTGACCTGGAAGCATGAAATGGCCTGCATGCATTCTAGAACTATAAACAGATTGGCTTGGTCAAAGTGGAGTTCCACTTGGGGCTAAACACAAGACTGGAAAGGTACTAAAGGAGGGAAAACGTGACACACGGCTTCTGTATCTAATTGAGACATATGACGGCTCACACTACCTTGAAATGATGCCATGACATATGCCCTAATCAGTCTTCAGAAGTCAACCCAGGAACAGTGAATGAGGTGGCCTGCTCACCCCGAACCTCATCCAGAACCAGGCCCATCCTTCTCAGCGTTCTTTTCTGAAGTAGTTTACAAAATCCCTGATGGCTTTGAATCTCGGGAAATTCTTCTGTAGTGGCCCGGGATAAAGACGCATTTTTTCTTAAATGGATTTTCTTAAAAAGATTTCCATAGAAATTCTGCCTGGAACATTTTAGACTTTAGCTAATACTGGAGCCCTGTCCATATCTTTGAGGCAGAGTATAGTATTGAGATTTGAGGACCACTTCCAGAAGTGGCCTGCTCTATACCAAGTCAGGGTCAGCTACCCCAAGAGCCTGGTGAGACAACTGGGGGCTCTGGAGGGACTTGAGAGCTGTGTCTTGGATGCTTGGAGTGGTTGCAGTCGTTTTTGTCAGTCAAGATGCATAACCAGTACTGGTTGGAGGGAATACCTGCCTCATTCATTCATTCAGTGCACACAGACCAGCAGTCAGATTGATCAGAAACTACAGCTCATCTTCTTTGTCACCAGCCCCAGGGCCTCAGCCTTTGTCTCTTCCCTGTCACTGCTGTCTCAGTCTTCGAGTTCTCCTCGTTGGCCTCAGACATAGTCATGGCCACTTCAGCCAGGAATCCAAGGGACAATAAGGAAACAAGTGTGAGCACCCCGTTGACCTTTCCAGTCTGCTCTGGAATTGGTTTCCTCTCTGGAACACCCTTAGACTAAGTTTCTCTTCTTTTATTCTTAAAGGGACGGCCTCGCCCTAGCCAGCCCACTGTCCTCCATGAGGACAATGATTCTCCACCAGTATCCCCCAGAAGCAGTTAGTTCCAGCCATAGACATCAGCCACCATCCTTCAACTGTCTTCCTTACAATTCGGCAGCTCTCTGAGGGTGTCCAGCATAGTGGCCACCTGCCCTACCCAGGTTTTTCCCTTTTATGGAATGTGTTCAAGAGTTAGCATTGGTCAGATTAGGAGCTGACAGATAGTATCAACATTAGTTTCAATTGAGACTTTAACCAGAGTGGTGTGTGTGTGTGTGTGTGTGTGTGTGTGCGTGTAAATCCCTGGTATCAGATAAATACCTAGAAGAGGCACAGTCCTGAGTATTGCCATTATGATTCTATCATGGTGGTGGAAGAGGACCAAAGGTTAGCAGGCAAGCATGAGCGCGCCTTGCCTGGAACTGAGTAGAAATTGGGGTGTTTCTGACACATGGTACATTGGGAATGCTTTCTCGAGAAACATCTGAAGTATCATGTGCCTTCACAATCCCCGTGGATTTGTTGGGTGTGAACAACCAGTGGTCTCAAAGTAGGGGCCACAAGATGGTCCAGTGAGCTAGAGAAAGAACATACTAGAACTTTTATCCGTTGTTAATCATCTTCACTTACAAGTTCTACACTGTGTAAGTTTTATAGTATACATCATATATCGACATCATAGTATATGTATTCAACTGATAGATACCTACATGGGCAGTAGGGTGCCTCACTTTCTTGTAATTACTGATAAGGGTCCACGATCCCAAGACAGCTTGGAGGTCACTGCTCTAGGTCATTACCTGCTGCATTTATTTTTACTCACTGTCCTTTTTCAGTTTGTTCCCCTCCCCCATGTGCTGACTTTTATTTTGATTTTATTTATGTTTATGTTTTAAGACATCCACATCTTCCTCTGCTAGAACCCTGAAAAATAGGCCTTGCCTTAGCCCCAAACGCCCCAGTCCTGGTAGCTCAGACCCTTTGATCAAACCCTCCAGCCCTGCCGTGTGCCCAGAACCATCTTCCTCTCCTAAACACGTCTCATCTGTCACACCCCGAATTGGCAGTTCTGGAGCAAAGGAGATGAAACGCAAGGTAAGGACACCACCTTTGGCAAGCATCAGGCAGTTCTCCTGCGGTTTTCAAATGTCTGCTGTTTTAACCACCGAGACCTTTCTTCAGATAAACTCTTTCATAGGCACGCCATGTAGAATAGTTACATTTTGGTTTAACAGGGAAAAGGGAACAAGGAGACTCACTTCTCAGCTCCCCTAAATCCCCCATAGCAGCAGTGCCCCAGGCACCCTCGAGACCCTGGTTTGAAAATGGGAATCCACATTCCTGATTGCCTTCATTTGGGTTGGATGGCCTCACTGGGTCACAATAACTGCCCCCATGTTCCCTACCTTCTGAAGCATCTCCTGGGCCTTGCTTCATGTCAGTTTCCTTTTGAGTTTGTTTTATGTCAGAAGGTCATCTACCTTGTAACCAAACCCAGCAACTGGCCATGACCAGTACTCTGTGTTTGTACCAACACTGTCTCTCCGTCTTTGGTTAGTCTGTTAACTGATGGCTGGTGTTTACCTACCATGGGCTCTCAGCACACCCACGGTGTTCCGGGAACCTTATGGTTGCTTAGAGAACAAACGTCTGCGACCTAGCTCTGTTTAGCACTCAAGTTCAACAGTGTCTCATAGAGCAAGTGCTCCTGGGGAAACCAGCCACCAGTCAGATAAACCCATAATGAGTCCAAATATGTATGTTCACATAGGCATGGCCCACTAATGTCGACACCAAGTGGATAATGAACCAGATCATTTTTACCAGCTTTATTGCCTTATAAAATAAATTAGCACAATTCATGCTGATAGCTAATGTAAACAATTCCCCTAGGGAGAATTCATAATCAGGGCACTTGGTGTTTGGGTGGGACAGTGGGTTTGTGTGCCCAGCAAACCTTTGTGATGGTAGAAGACATTTGTTCCATATAGAAAGCAAAGGGTCACTCCCAAACTTAGCTTCCTTTTCAGTCAAAGCAAGAGTGTGGGGCTGGCATTGATTCTAGGTGACAGTAACATTTCCCTATTTTAAAAACCGCTGTACCGTGATTCGGTTTGCAGGGGGCAGATAAAACTGGAACGAAGATCGCCACACCCCGGGGAACCGCCCCTCCAGGCCAAAAAGGCCCAGCCAATGCCACCAGGATTCCCTCGAAAACCACACCCACCCCAAAGACACCGCCCAGCACCGGTAAGAAGAATATTCTAGAGTTTACCCAAGGAAGCTTTCAGTAGGTACAACCCCCACCTCTGAAACCTCCTTGCTATTGAATCAGTTCCAACTCATAGCAACTCCAGAACTGCTCCCTAGGGAATACCTGCCCCCATGGCCTTTCTCAACGCCCCATGGGTGGATTCAAACCACCAACCTTTAGGTCAGCTTCACCCCACCCCACCCACCCCTGGGGACCTAGACCGGCTTTGAAGGCCCAAGAAAACGGATAACCCTGGAGAGATAGTTGGAGCCTTGCAGATTACTAAACACAGTAATGTTGCTTTTCTTTTGAAGCCTTTTGACAGTTTTCTGAGGTAGAGATTGAATCCCTACTTATAATCAATGAAGAAATTGAGGATCTGAGAATTTTCTTGACTCGACCTAACGAGCTCATTTTACCCATGAGGAAAATGCAGCCACATGGCCAGTAAGTGGTGGGAAAGGGGTTTCTCTGCGCTTCTGTGAGGCCATATCAGGCCACTGGAAGGCAACCCCAGTGTGAGCTGTTTGAAGCCCCCAGATGAGCCATGTGACCACTGTTGCTCCAAGTGCACTTAGGTAGGTCACTACAGATGACTTCACACAGACATGGCCGCGGGAGAGTCATGAATCCTCTTTAAAACCTGGTGGTCTCCCCAACCCCCAACCCCCAACCCCCAACCCCCCAAAAAGAAAAAAACAGAGGGAATAGAAGCAAATACAGTTGAAAGATGATGCACGGAAGAGATTGTAAACATTGCAATGAAACGATGGTGTAAAGCTGATGTTCTCCCATGGAAACTAGCACTCGGTTCACAGTTAAAAACTTAAAAAAAAACAAATCAGAGATCTAAAAAAACATTAGCAAAAAGTAGGAAGCAGGCCTGAAGAATGGAGGAAAGTGGGTCTTAGGCATTATCAAGCTTCCAAATCTCTCTACCAGGTCAGCCTTCCATAACGCTGTTGCTCAGTCTCCACATATAGTTGGGAGTTATCAGCCGTAGTGGCTGGGGACTTGGCATCACCTCGTCCATAAACTAAAAACTTTTGCTATTGGGAAGATTCCGACTCAAAGCAACTCAATCAGAGTAGAACAGCCCCTAGAGTTTCCAAACTGTAATCTTTACAGGACCAGACCCATCTTTCTCCACAGAGCAGGCTGCTGGGTTCAAACCACTAGAGGACCTCTTTAACCAGTGTGTCACCAGGATTCTGTACCTAACTCTAAAAAAAAAAAATTCCTTTTCTCTTTTAGCTAAGACTAAAGAAATTTGAGGGGGAGGGAAATCTTTTGAAAGAAAAATTTTCATCTGTAACAAGAAGATCTCAGTAAATGTCAGTCAACTTTATGTACCCCACAAAAATGAAGAGTTAATATCAAAAGATGAATAAGATTATTTTCTAGACAAACTCAGTTTTCAAAAAATAACACAAACAAACAAACAAAAAAAACCACTGAGAGAAAATACAAAAACCCTGCCTAAAAGTGATTTGATGTTTTAGTTGCAGAATCATGAACAAGACCATGGAGGTGAAAAAATACAATTTAGGCTGAGGCACTAAAGTACAATGCTATGGCCACTGTACCTTTCTGTAATAAAAACAATAACCAGGGGTAAAGAACACCAACCTGGTGGTCTTAGCTGAGCGGTTGCACGCTGTGTCCACTCCCCTGGGCTTCTGTGAATGAGAACTAGTCAAGGCATCTGCCCAGCTATTTTGCTTCCAGTGGTTGCTACTCAGCATACCAACCAATTAACCAGATAGCATTGAGTTGACTCTGCCTCATGCAGACCCCGATGTGTCACAGTAGAACTGTGTTCAACGGTGTTTTCAGTGGATGATTTTTCATAAGTAGATCCCACTCATGGTGCTCCTGTGTGTGTCAGAGTAGAACTGTGCTCCACAGGGTTTTCAGTGGATGATTTTTCATAAGTAGATCCCACTCATGGTGCTCCCGTGTGTGTCAGAGTAGAGCTATGCTCCACAGTTCTGCAGATTTCTCAGTGGGTGAGTTTTATTTTTGCAAGTAGATTCATCTCTGGGTGAACTTGAACCTCCTGCCTTTCAGTTAGCAGTCAAGCATGTAAACTGTTTGCATCTTCCAGGGACTTGCAAGTAAAAATAGTAAACCTCAGCGAGGATTAGGGGAAACTGGCTGAGCATTACCTCCACAAGCTGCCCTGGGTTTAGCCTCTATGATGCTCAGTGAAGGGGCTCAGGAAGCCCATGGGTCTGGGTGCCGGCTGTTCCATGGAAGGGTAGGTCTCTGCTTCTCTTCGGTCTGAGTGGCTACCCATAGCCCTTGTCTGTGGCATGGTTAAGCCATGTGTCTGTGTGGCTCACAGGTGTGGTATCATGGGTCTGCAAAGACGGCTGTTCATCAAGGTCCAGAGGTTTTGTTTTCTCTCCGTTGTTTTTCCTTGCGTGTATAAGACAGGCCATGTAAGCTAATAAGCACTAGACCACAAGATTAGTTTGAACTACAAAGTCAGCGGTTCAAAACTCACCAGCCACTCCTCAGAAACCCTATACAGTGTTGCTATGAGTCAGAACTGACTCAACAGCACTTAACAACATCAACAATGTAGGGGTAGTAACCAAGGTTGTGATTTTATTTACAGTTTTGCTCCTGCTTTTTTTTTTTCTCTTGATTCTTCACCTGAAAAAGAACTGTACTTTGCTCTCTTTATTTTTAAAATTTTATTGGTATACCTCATTTCATCACACTTTGCAGGATACTGCTTTTTTTTTAAATACAAATTGGAGATTTGTGACCCTCCTCCATTGAGCACGTCTGTCAGTACCATTTTTCTGACAGCATAGTACTGCTGTGTGCGTTTCGTGTCTCTGTGTCCCAGTTTGGTGATTCTCACACTATTTCAAACGTTTTCATAATGCTAATAGTGTAAACATAAACATTAAGTGCACTAGGAAGCCAAAAAGTTTGTATGACTCACTTTATTGCAATATTTGTTTTATTATGGTGCTTTGGAATGGAGCCTGCTGTATCTCTAAGGTCTGCCTGTATGGTGGTAAAATATACACGATGCGCCTCCAGAAAGTTCTTGGAAAAAATTCCATTATCTGTTTAATCCTTCTTCCTTGAACTTTCAAAAGCCTTTATGTAACAAAACATTAGGCATCTCAACCATTTGGATATGTCCAGTTCAGAGACGGTTACATCCTCCGTGTTTTGCAACCCTAACCACTCACGGCTGCCTATTTTTCTCATCTGAGTGTCTTAACTGACACTCAGTGTCCCTTCCAAGATAACTGCCCCTTCCCCAATGACCCTGTCTCCCACCTGTTTCTAGTGTTGGTGGTGGTGTTGCGTGCTGTCGAGTCGGTTCTGATTCATAGCGACCCTGTATAGGGTTTCTGAGGAGCAGCTGGTGAGTTTGAACCACTGACCTTCCAGTTAGCCGTCCAGTGCTTATCCTACAGTGCCATACCAGGACTCCCCTGCCCCTGATAACCACTAGCAAACCTTGTCTCTGCCTATCTAGGTACTTTACATAGGTAGGATCATACATTATTTGTCCTTTTATGTCAGACTTACTCACTTAGCATAACATTCTAGAGGTTCATCCATGTCATCGTGTGTATCAGAACTTCTCTGGAAGGATCACATTTTGTTTATGGATTTATCTGTTGATGGGCACTTGGGTTGTTTCCATCTTTTGGCTATTATGATCTTACCTGCTCTGGGGTAGTAGCCTGAAGCCAGACCAATTCCCTTCCCCTCCACCTTATTTCTTCCCAGAATGCCCCCTTGCTCTCTGTCTTGCTCCCCCATGGCAGAGCCATGTGAGGCTGGGCACCGATAACCAAACACCTGTCAGCTTGATTATAATGAGGGCTTTCTGTGGATCTTTCTTTTTAAGCAACCAAGAAAGTGCAGAGAAAACTACCCCCTCCTGGGGAAAACTCTGAGCGAGGTAATTCTGAGCCTGCTGGGAAAGGTTGCTTTGTGTGTGTAGCTGTTCATAGGCCTATGTTTCCCAAGATGGGAGAAGCTGCTTCTGACACTGAGCCTGAAGAAGGAACAGTCTGAATTCCTGCATATCTTCTCACGTGTCGTTTGCACAGATGTTTGGTTTCTAATCCTGAGTGTGCTTATTTACTCCGGGGACAAGGGCATGGAAGAGGGCTCTTGGGGTGGAGGGAGGGGGCAGCATGTGCCTGGAGTTTGTTGTGGGGGTTGGAGATTTGGACTGTTCCTCACCAAGGTTTGTTGTTGTTGTTAAGTGCCATCAAGTTGGTTCTGACTCATAGCAACCCTGTATAGGGTTTCCAAGGAATGTCTGGTGAGTTTGAACCACCGACCTCGTGGTTCAAACGGTTTAGCCATGTGTATAAGTTGCCTTTACCACTCATCTGTCAGTTTGCCATACTGTGGTGGCTTGCATGTTGCTGTATGCTGGAAGCTATACTGCTAGCATTTTCAATCCCTGCAGAGTCACCCACGGTGGACAGGTTTCTGTGCAGCTTACAGACTAACACAGGCTAGGAAGAAGGGGAGGTAGACCACTTCTGAAAGGATGTTGTTGTTGTTGTTAAGTGCCATCGAGTCAGTTCCGACCCATAGCGACCCTGTACAGGGTTTCCGAGGGTGTAAATCTTTATGGGAGTAGAAAGCCTCCTCTTTCTCCCGTGGAGCGGCTGGTAGTTTCAAACCGCTGACCTTAAGGTTCGCAGCCCGATTCGTAACCACTACGCTACTACTATAGCCACTGAAAACCTTATAAACAGCAGTGGCACTTCATACATGAAGAAAACAAAAGGTCATTAAAAAGACAGGAACGAAAGAAATAGGTATCAGAAAAGACTCTGAAACTTACTCCTGAATGTCAAGAAGCTAAAGGGCCTGGGAGAAATGATGAAGTAAAAGAGCTGAGCAGATTTCAAAGGGTAGCTGGAGAAGATGAAGTAAAGAATAATGGGATGTACAGTACTGGAGTTAGAAAACCAAAAAGGAAGAACACACTCAGCATTTCGCAAGCTAAAAGAATTAAAGAAAAAATTCAAGCATCAACTTGAAATACTGAAAAATTCTATGGGCAAAATATCAAATGATACAGGAAGTACATAGAGATACTGTACCAAAAGAATTGGTCAGTATACAAGAGGCGGCATCTGATCAAAAACTCATAGTATTAAAGGAGGAAACCCAAACAGTACTGAAGTCATTAGCAAAAAACAAGGTTCCAGAAACAGATGGAATACAAATTTAAATTGAAAACAAACTGCTATAGTGTGGAAGAGCTCATTTGTCTATGCCAAGAATTTGTCAGACCTGACCAATCAATTGGAAGAGACCCATATTTGTGCTCATTCAAAAGAAAATTGACCCAATGAAATGTGGAAATCATATCACAACATCCATCGTTAATATAACATTCAAGTAATATTTTGCTGATAACAACTGGAAAATGGTTGTTGTAGCGGTATATCAATAAGGAGTTGCCAGAAATTCAAGCTGGATTCAGAAGAGGACATGGAACTAGGGATACCATTGCTGACATTAGATGGATCTTAACCGAAAGTAGAGAATATCAGAAAGATGTTTACTTGTGCTTAATTGAGTATACAAAGGCATTCGACTGTGTGGATCTTAACAAATTGTGGATACCATTACAAAGAGTGGGAATTCCAGAACACTGAACTGTGCTCATGAGGAACCTATACATTGATCAAGAGGTAGTCATTCAAACAGAACAAGGGGATACTGGATGGTTTAAAGTGAGGGAAAGTGTGCATCAGGTTTATATCCTTTCACCGTACTTACTCAATCTGTATGCAGAACAAATAATCCAAGAAGTTGGGTAACATGGAGAAGAATGTGGCATCAGGATTGGAGGAAGACACATCAACAACTTGTGATATGCTGATGGCATGACCTTGCTTGCAAGAAGTAAAGAGGACTTCAAGTATTTTGTAATGAGGATCAAGGGTTACAGCCATTGCACCTCAATGTAAAGAAAACAAAAATCCTTACAACGGGACCAATCAATAGCATCATGGTCAATGGAGAAACTATTGAAGTTATCAAAGACATCACTTTACTTGGAACCACAGTCAACATTCATGAAAGCAGCAGCAGGAAACCAAATGCCACAGCGTATTGCATTTGGCAAATTTGCTGCAAAAGACCTCTTTAAAGTGTTAAAGGGCAAAAAACGTTATTTTGAGACTAAAGTACCCCTGACTTAAGCCATGGTATTTTCAGTCACCTCATTGAAAGCTGGAAAATGAATAAGGAAGAGCAGAAAACAGTCGGTACGTTTGAATGATGGTGTTGGAGAAGACCACTGGAAGTACCATGGACTGCCAGAAGAACAAACAAATCCATCTTGGCAGAAGTGCAGCCAGAATGTTCTTAGAAGCGAGAGTGGTGAGCATTCATCTCATGTACTTTGGACATGTTGTCAGGAAGGACCAGTCCCTGGAAAAGAACAGTTGAGGAAGACCCTCAACAAGATAGATTGACACAGTGGGAGCAACAATGGGCCCAAACATAACAGTTGTGAGCATGGTACAGGGCTGGGCTGTGTTTCGTTCTGTTGTGTAGAGTGTCACTGTGGTCAGAACTGACTCCCGGCACCTAACAACAACATTCGTTTCCTGAGGCCGCTGTAATAAATTGTGGTGGCTTAAAATGATAGAAATTTATTAGCTTACAGCTCTGAAGGCCAGAAGTCAGCATTCAGAGAGTTAGCAGCGCCATGCTCTCACCAAAGGCGCCTACCTTCTGGTCACCCAGGCATTCTGTGGTGTGCAGCAGCTACAGCATGATTCGTCTCTGCCTCCATCTTCACTGGGCCAGCTTCCCTCTGGGTCTCTCCTTCTCTTATAAGGACATCACTCAGACTGGATTGGAACCCTACTCCACTATGACCTCGTATTAACTAATAACATCTTCGAAGACCCTATTTCCCAACAAGGTTCCACTCTCAGGTACTGTGCTTAGGACTTCAACATGTCTTTTTGGGAGACACACTCAAATATGTATGAAACAGCATGAAAGTCCCACTGGCATCGGCTACATGATCACCCTGTGAATGACCCTTTACCTGGTAACACATCCCATTTTCAAATACTAGCCCTGCAGGTACACTCTGTCTCCCCATTTTCCAGATGAGAAGACAGTCTTAGGGAGGAGGTTAAGCCCCAGTCAGTTTGGTTAATGGTATGGAAAGGATTGAAGAGCTACCGTGAAGCCCGAGGTCACCCTGTGCTGCCTTAGGGTAGAATGGCATTGCTGCAGAGGCTGAGAGAAAGGCTGGGACCGGGAAACAGAGGCCCATCCACGGTTTCTGCATTGGAAAATGAGAAAATTCTCCATTTGTCCTGTCTCCGCAGAGCTTGACTTCTTGAGAAATATCCAGTAAGCGTGGAAGTTCAAACATTCAAAACCATGATGGTTGGTGTTGACTTAAGGGCAATCATCTATTTGTAGACAAAGAGCAGTCCTTTTCCAGGTTGGGGCCCAGCAGGTGCCATGTTTGTGATATGGCCCCCGGGGGTTTGGAAGTGGATATGGCTGAGGAAGTTCAGAGTTCAGCAGTACAACTGTGCTGTGCAGCTTCTCACAACTGGCCCACATCTAATCCAGGGGTTCTGGCTGTGTGCTGGAGAACCCCGAGGGAGCTCAGAGAAAGTCCGTTTTACAGGCCCCACCCTTAGAGATTTGGATAGGACAGGCTTGGATGGGACCCAGGAATGAGCATTTGCTAAGTTAAGTACTGTGGTCCCTGGCCGCCCCAGGGATTCTGATGCAGGGTCCTAGGAGCTGTCCTTTGAGAACCACTGAACCCACGAAACACACAGAAACAACGACTCCTAAAGTGGGGAAACAGATACCTTTAGGGGTGAGGAGCACCCAGAAGAGGGCTGTTGGGGGGTGGCACACCTACACTATGCTTGCAAAGAAAGGGGTGTTGGTAGTTATCTGCACTGGCACAGAGGACAGGGAGGGGATCGCAGGGCTGGAAGCAGCAGGCTTGTCTGGTCAGTGAAGGACAAGTATGTGTGAGCACGCATTCCTTTCTGGACCACGCGCCAAAGAAGAGTTGGGAAGCGTGGTCAGGAGACCCGGATAAAGGGGCCTTGAGCAGAATAATGTGGCTCAGCAGAATAATGGGGCAGACTGAGGGCGCCTGGGGGTCCTGTATTCAGGGTAAAGGTCCACAGGATTCAGGGTAACGGCCAGGGCTCCTCCCCTGTTGGCTGTGACCACCTGCTTAATCCAGCCTGAGTCTGAACACGGGGCCTTTTTTAACTTTCCTCTCGGAAACCTGGTCTCACACCTTCCTTCTTTCCTTCCCTCCTAACCTCCTTCCTTCCCTCTCAGGTGAATCTGGAAAATCTGGAGACCGCAGTGGCTATAGCAGCCCCGGCTCTCCGGGCACTCCTGGCAGCCGGTCCCGCACCCCGTCCCTGCCCACCCCGCCCACCCGGGAGCCCAAGAAGGTGGCAGTGGTCCGCACCCCACCCAAGTCACCGTCTTCAGCTAAGAGCCGGCTGCAGACGGCGCCCGTGCCCATGCCGGACCTGAAGAACGTCAGGTCCAAGATCGGCTCCACTGAAAACCTGAAACACCAGCCCGGAGGCGGGAAGGTAAGGACAGCGGAGGGAGCCCCTGGCGGGGCGCCCTGAGGAGGAATGGAACTTTCTCCTGAGGTTTCATCTGCCTGGGGCAGAAGTGGGTGAGATGGTTCAGCTCAAAAGGGGTCCTCCCTGTGAAGCACCCCGACCCTCACCTGAACCTTTCAAGTAAGGAGAAGCCAGTTGCGGCTCAATTCTTTGTCGGGGTGTGAGACGAGAGCCCCCTGTCGCTGGAAATACTGGTCCTGCTCTTCCTCGTTTCAGGCCTGCTAACAGGACAGTGACAGAGACTCCAAGGCTGTCTCCGTGACCTAGGGCCTCCCTCCCTGTCTCACGTCCTCACATGGCACCCTCTGTAATTGGGCAGCTCTGGTTTTTATGGGATGTTTACTTAGGTTGAGCTCTTTCATCTTCAATTCTGGGGAAATTAGGGGGTTCTATTTTCCGGAGGCAAAAGGGTCCTCATGAAATCCTTGGGGCTCCTCAGATGGCTCTTAGTGGACTGGCAGCGTCTCATCAGCTGCTAGCTGTTGGGTGACTCTGGTGGTCCCAGTCCTGCCCCTTCCAGAGGGTCTCTTGGGCAGCCACTGTGGGGTGCTGCCAGGCAAAAGGACCTCCAATAAGACGGTTTCTGCACTGGTGGAATGGTGGGTCTCCTACGCCAGCCCACCCTCATTCCGCATGGTGGGTGTCCTGTGAACGCTCTGTTCTCGTGGCACATCTTTGTAGAAATGACAAAACTTTACACACACTAGGAAGAACCTCCACCAAGAAGTCTCTCCTTAACCGCCTTTGGAGCCCTGACAGCTCTGAGTATGTGTCTGCCTCCCATCCTCATGAGGAGGGCAGCTGGCTCTCTGGCATCTTGGCTGCCCCATGGGGCTATGCCAGTTCATTTGACTTGGTGTTGTCTGAGTGAGTAGATAGCTCAAGGAGCTGGAGCCGAAACCTTGAGTTCATCTGAGGCTGGACTGAAAGCTTTGGGCGCCACTGGTCCCAGTTCTGAGTGGGGAGGAAACTTTTCTACTGAAGGCCCCTTTCAGGGCCTAGTGCCCCCCTTCCACCCTGGCTGCCCAGCTTCCCTCAGTGGAATGCTTGGAGAGGGAGGAGGGAGGTGCCTCAGGCTATGTCAGCTTAAATATCTACTGATGGGTTAAAGAAGAAAGGGTAACTTTTCTTGGGACACATTAGGGGAAGAGAAAGGCCTAACAGCCTCTCCTAAAATTCCATGAAACACCTAGAAAATTGAAACAGAAAATTTCAGTTGTAACAAAGATCAAGGTGTTAGTCTCCAAGAAAAATGAAAAGTTAAAGGGGAAATTGGCTTATGGGATCTGCTAAAAAGGCTTTAGAAATGACCTGATGCTGTGTTGGCTTCCTGGATCCAGTGAGTGCTCAGTAATGTCAGGCTGTAACAGGGACAGAGGAGCTCTGGTAGCGTAGTGGTTACGAATCGGGCTGCGAACCTTAGGGTCAGCGGTTCGAAACTACCAGCCTCTCCGCGGGAGAAAGATGAGGCTTTCTACTCCCGTAAAGATTTACACCCTCGGAAACCCTGTACAGGGTCGCTATGGGTCGGACCCGACTCGATGGCACTTAACAACAACAACAACAGGGACAGAGCTACGGGAGTCTGACGGGTCATTCAGCTCCCTAAAGAGCTGATCACACTGAATAAGGAAGAACTGGAGATGGGTCATGTCTGTATAGCTGCAGACAAGGAAAAGCACAGTGGATCAATAGCCATCATTTATCAATAGCCATCATTTAACCTGTTGTCATCTTTGAGCTTTTCTGTTTTCATGACTTGCTACAGTGAATGTCTCTTCATTTCCTGGGGCTGCTGTACCAGAAATACCACAGTTGGGAGACTCTAAAGAACAGAAATGTCTTTTCTCAGAGTGCAGGAAGCTAGAAGTCTGAATTCAGGATGCTAGCTCCAGGGAAGGCTCTCTCTTTGGGCCCAGTCCTTTCCAGTGTCCCTGGTTCCTTGCTGATCAGGAGGCGCCATCTGTCTTCTCCTACTTGTGCTCACTTGTCTCTGTGTCTGATCAACTTGTTTTATAAACTCAGAAGTTCTTAGGGTGAAGCATGGCCTCTTTAAGTCGGCATGAGATTGCATTATAGAAGGCTGCCTTATTATATGCACAGGTATAGGGAGGGGTTGGTATTCCAAAGCATACTTCCTTATTGTTGTTGTTACGCTGTTCACTCAGTGCCAACTCATAGAGACCCCGTAGAGGGTTTCCAAGGAGTGGCTGATGGCTTTGAACTGCTGACCCTGTATTAATCGTACAGTTCCACACCAGGACTCCCCACATATTTTAGGGGGACACAATTCAATCCATAATACTATGTGTTTCTTTAAGGGTTTGAAGCAAGATTATTTCTAAAGAAAAATGCTGGTATCGTGTGGTCAGTTGGAGACTAGTTGATTTGATTGAAAAACCTGCTACTCGTGAAAGTGCTGGGATGGCCATCTTGAGCCTGATTACAAAATAGAATCACCTGGGAGTATCCAAGCCTCCTCCCACCCCACCCCACCCCAGCCATTAGCATCTCAGGTGTGGGCTCCCCAAGTGTGTACAGTGTGCAGTCCAAGCTGAGAAAGCCATGCTTCCAAATTCTCACCTGCTGGCCTCTGGCGTGGAGGCCCTGAATGTCGAGGGCCTCCGTGCACTTGGATTTGGTGACTGGTTTTCTGTGTCCTTCCTGACCCACCTGCATTCACGCATAGCATGAACCCTGGCTCCTGAGTCTGCTCAGCCCAGACCCAGACCCAGACCCAGACCAGGCTGGGTCCCCTGGGCCCCAGGTTTTTCTATTCAATGTGTAAGTGGGGGTGTGGCGAAGGGCAGACATAAAGAACCAATATTTTCAAAACTTAAAGAAAAGATGCACTGCAGCTGTACAAGATTAGCCAGTATTCTTATACTCTGGGGAGGGTGCAAATCAGAGCAAGCTTTTTTGAATGTACCAGAGGAATGCTCACAGTTTCCACAATTTGACTCAATGACCTGTTGAAGTGCTTGTGCCCAATATGCTAGAAGTGTTGCATAATCTAAAGCCAGGAAACAAATTCCAAAACTCAGCAAAAGATTTAAGTGCAAAAATGTAAAAACTTCATGGAACAGTGTAAAAGTTTAAATGTCTAGCAATAAGGAGAGGACTAAATAAATTATGCCAATACCATACTCCAAAATAGTATGCTGTCATTAAAATTATCTTTGAAAATGTCGAATAATTCTAACAGCAGCTCCCAATAGGGTCAGGAAAATCAGGAATCCCTGTGAGTGCCGAGAGAAAGGATGGTACAGGGGTCCTGGATAGGAAGGGCACAGAAGCCGGAGAATGGTGGTGGGCTGGTTATCTTCTGAAGCTACCCAGGAGGGTGCTGTTAGCGAGGCCAACAGCTTGGACAGGAAAGTCTCATAGCAGCGGGCTTCAAACGCCTTGGCGTGCAATATACCAGATGGCCACGAGATGGCGATGGAACGCTGTAAACATCCCTCTCCATCTTGGGTCCAGTTCAAACGGTTGCTGCTTGATTTGCTGACACAACATTGACTTGTTTCTTTTTCTCTGTTTAAGTGTCTATTTTGTCTTCACTCCCCCGCATTCTCTGCCTTCACCTCCATTCACCTTTCTCCTGATTTTGTTTCTGCCTCTCTCCGTTCTTCTTCATCGCCTCTCCTCATTCAGCACAGACCATAATAGGAAACAAGTATTTTTAAATTTATTTATGAAACGTATTAGTCAATAGTAAAAGAAGCACCTGCCTAGAACATTGGTGTGAAGTATATGAAGTGATTTTCACTCAGTGGGCCTTGGATGGAGCAGAACCAGGGACCTTTGGACGGAGGTGTCCAACCCTCCCCTGGGAGAGCCAGGAACCCTGGGAGCCTCTGGCATCTCTCTGGCACAGGATCTATGTTTCTTCAAAGCCTGTGTCGCTCCAGCCATTGTCCAGGACTTTGGGAGGTCACTGTGGAAACAATTCGAAAGACGACTCTTCCTGTTACCTGGTCTTTTCTTTGGCCAGTTGACTTACGGGGAAGTAGGTGTTCCTTGGTCATTTCCCAGGCCAACCACCTTGGACGTGAAGAGATGCTTGGTCTGGAGCCCACCTCAGGTTAAATGCACACCTGAACATCCCACCAGCTGCTCCTAGTTCTCAGCACTGGGCCTAGCCCAGAGCGCCACATGATGCTGGAGACAGGCTGGGACCCAAGCCAGCCCACTCAGCTAGGTCACCCTGGGAGTGCCTGCGGGAAGAGAGAGGGAGGGCTGGGCAGCCCCAGAGACCTGAGCCCAAATGGAACCAACAGCATCATCTCCTGAGAGTTTGGGGCCACTCCAGGTCATGGATGAAACCAAACCAGACCTGCCCCAGCCCCAACTCCAGTCCCAGCATCTCTTCTAGGGTCAACCCCTGACCATAGGACTTTCTCCCCAGAGTAGGAGCCTCCAGATCAAAATGTAGAACTTCGAAAACTTGTCTCCTCTGATGGGTATTTTAAGCATCTAGAGCTGAGGCACAGAATCATAAGAAACAAAGTTTATTCCAACTAGAACCTTTCTTTCTCCTTCTTGTAAATCTGGAATTTTGTAAAGTATGTTTGTTTAACTTAAGGACTAACAGTAATTTAAGTCTGTAAATATCCTATGTCATTGCCAAATCTCACAAAAACTTGTTGCTTTCTCTGTGGGGTTGAAAAAAGGGAAAAAACCACATTAACAAAACGTTCCTATGTATGTGACAGACCTTATATTATAGCTTACTGCCCCTTGATAAAGACCCATTTGATGCAGCAAACACAATTACTTGTACAGATTGGTGCAGCAAACACAATTACTTTGTCTGATAATGAGAGTTAGGTAACCTGTCATTTCCCCCCTTTTTGCCTTGGCTTCCAGGAAGCTCAGAGCTCAGTGGTGGTGGTGGTTTTGTGCTGTGAAGTAGGTTCTGACTCATAGTGACCCTGTATAGGATTTCCGAAGCTGTAATCTTT